ATATCTATGGTATTAAAAAAAAATTGACCTATAATAAATTCCAAATTAATCATATCACATTATCACAATATCCATTAGGTACTAATAACACGTTATACACCAACAACAAACCCTGATACTATCATATATATATAATAGTACACTTTAGAAGTTTCAAGTAGGTACCCACGAATAATATTATATAATCACAACAAAATAACTAGGTTTTTTAATATGTAATTTCGTCAAAATTTGAACATAAAATGACTATAAAAATAAACTGTGATTGTATATTTTTTAGATTTTTCGGTAAGAGAATTAACTACTTACGTGAAATCTTGTTTTAAATTTTCAATCCTTAGCTATAAAAACTGAACATTTTATAATTTATTAATTACGATGATTAATAATTTTCGAGATTTTGAAAAATTCTGTCAAAATTCGATGTTAAAATGCTTATAAAAAAAATTGTGCCTATGTATTTTTAATATTTTTCAACTGATATTGTAACAATATATCAGGAGCCTTGTATTAAATTTTTACACTTTTTGGCCCAACAGATAAAACTTAATTAATATTTATAGAAAAAAAAAACTAAAAAAATTGAAAACTGAAAATGTCCGTAAACGGCTCAAAAAGAGTCAAAATATTTTCAAAATTGTATGGTGTATAGGAAATGCTAATATAAACATTCAGTGAAATTTTCATGTATCTACAGTAATTCGTTTTTTAATTACAACAAAAAAAGGAAATTGCCACATGAGAAATCGAGTGAATATCCAATGTTGTAAAAATTTGAATTTCAAACGCTCATAAAAATTTAATTTGACTTTCCGGTAGAGATTTTTTTATTGATAAAGGTAGACAATCTTATGAGTAATCTTGTATTAGATTTTCAAATCTTAGATTTAAAAAGAAAAATTTTTACGAATTCTTAACTCAAAATAATTTGCTAATTTTCGTGATTTTTCCATATTTTGTCAATTTTTGAACTTTAAATGCTTATAAAAAAAAATTGTGACTAAGGATTTTTAATATTTTTCATCTGCCCTTGAAACAATATATTAGGAGCCTTCTATTAAATTTTCAAGCTTTCGCAACCAACAAATAAAATTTTATTGATATTTCTAGAAAAAAAACTAAAAAAAAACTAAAAATGAAAATGTCCCTAAACTGTTCAAAATAAATCAAAATATTTTGAAAATGTTATCGTGTATAGAAGATGCAAATATAAACAACCAGTGAAAATTGCATGTACCTACGGTCATTTGTTTTAAAGTTACACCAAAAACCAAATTCAATTTTCTGAAAAATCGATTTTGCGTAAAAATTCCCGTTTTTCCTTAATTTTTCTTTTGTTTTTCCCGGCGCTCTTGAAAACTACTGGGAAATTTAAATTTTGACCTCCCCAATGCACCAACGATATTCACTTTCCAATCGAACAAGATACTGAAGTCGAAAATCGAAGCATTATTTCGACTACTTATCGTGTACACAGACACAAAAAAAATAAAAAATAAAATAAAAAAAAAATAAAAAAAAAAACACACATCATTGTAAAATCAATACATTCATCGTTTCACTCAGAATCTAAAATATATCAACCAGACCAACACTACCTAAATACCTATAGAATTTTTTCTAATCAACTACAACACAATATTAATTAATGTCCTCGGGTTAGATACACAAAATGTGCAATAATACCTACCTAGATGTTTTCGTAAATAGAATAAAATACATTAATATGTACAATGCGTAGGTATAGGTACTTATTAGTTATTACTTACGTATTTTTATTTTTTAATATTTATATATTTACCTATTTTTAATTACAAATAAAAAACTATTGAATGTGATGGTTGATTTACCACTGAAAGGTCAATGGACGAAATAAACGTTTACTGAATTAATTAATAGGTACCATACTATAAAAAATAGTTTTGTTAAGACTACGGATGACTGTATTTTAAAACTCGTCAAAACGGAAAAAAAAACTGATTGCTATAATTCAGTGATGATTACTATTTAATTAAATAATATTACTGTAAGACTGTACGAATACACTTAGATGTGATTACTAATTACTTAGTACTGCAGATCCTAAGACAATGACGATACAGTTATTAATAAAAATATATATTGTAGCCATGTGGATATATACTTTGAGATAGGTTACACTTTTTCTGACGTACATATATGTTCTTAAAATGTTCAGCTTGGATTGAAGACAACATATTTCAACGTTCATACGTTCAAAAATTAATTATCCTATTTATTGATTTAAAAAAAAAAAAATTAACTGTAAATATACATTTTTTGATTGAATTTCCACGGTATTTTTTCATAGCTTAAAATAATATTATTTTATAATATATTTATGTGTTTTTTTTACTTATACCTACTCAAAATATTTAAAATCATAGTATATATAATATAGTGTGCATAATATGTATAACAACCAATATTTCCGTACCATTATAAAACTCACTTTATGTATAATAATTTTAATTTAGTCTATACTTTTTCAGTTATTTTTTGTACATATTTATATCAAGTGATCGATTTTTTGCCGGAACAATTAATGAAATGTGTTTTTTTTTCTACAGAGCCTATACACAAAACCCAATAATTACAACGATTTCGCGATTGATTACCGCGAAAATATTATGGATAATATAACGCACAGTCATTATTATTACATGTTGGCCAATCCATATTCCATATTATAATATATTACGTTGGTTTTCGGTCGATACTGTAGGCATATACATAATCTTTATTATGATATTATATTATACTAAAAAAAATTATTCCGTTGTCCCGTCGGCGGCCAATATTATAAAGGAACAAACAATTGTGAAAATAAAAAACTTTTTGAATTTCCGATAAAAATCAGGTTTACTATTACAATATTATCTCGATTCAGCCATATTATTTGCCTAATAGTTAATACAAGCCTGTTGTTAGATAAATTTATTTTATAATTAATTACGAAAAGTACCTAAAACGTTCAGACATCTTAAGGATTTGCAGTTGTACATTTATCATTCGGCCACTTTAAACCATTCGGTTGATTGGATATTTTACTATAGTCCAATTTCTTTGCTAACCACCAAGCAAGTACCCCTAAGCAAATACCTGTACCTATATGGCTGTGTATATTCGGATCGCAAATACGACTTCCTGATTTTATAAACTAATATTCAGGTTAAAGTGAAAAACAAATTCTGATAGTTTTTCCCGATTCTCTACACAAATATTGTAATCAAAATCATTCGACGAAAGCCATACTCTCGTTCACATTTATTACACGTCATCCAATGTTCAAGTTTCGTGTGTATGCGATGTATAATGTATATTATATATATATGGGTACAGCCGCAAGACCTCGACCGAATGACGGAGACGGCAGTCCGTTCTAGACGGCGGCGCACTCGGTCGCTCGAAGGACGTTACGTAAACGTCGAAATCGTATTATAAGACAAATAACGCATATACATACAAACCCCACGCTGGAGAGTTCCGTATGAGCGCATGGAAATTTTGATGACGATCATACACACAGTGTAATATTATTATTATACCCGACAGAATTCACTTTCTCTCGTGTCGCAGAGAACAAAAGGTACGGGTCACGGTCCTTTTGGTAATATAATAATAATATTATTTATTATACACGTACGAACGACCATCGTCGTCGTCGTCGTCGGTGCGAGCGGCGGCCATTGGCGTTTTGACCGCGGTAGTAAAACACCGGAAACCGATGTACCGGATTCTGCTGTTCTGCAGCCGCCACCGCATCGATCGTCGTCGCGTTTTTCATAAAAATTCTCTGCGCGTTCGTTGACACGTCTTCTTCTCACTCGGTGTGTAATTTTTTTCTGTTTTGCACACTCACACACAGATTTAAAAAACCCAACCACCGAGACACGAGCTGTGTTTCTGCGAATCAGTGTCGTTAAACGAACTGTTTAAGCCACTACACATAATATAATCCTTACGATTATAACTATAACACAGGTAACCGAGTATATATAGGTACGTATAGGTGGTCAGTTATATTGAATGATAAAAGGATGATGAAAGGACGCTCGGTCGCCCAATACGCGAGAGCGTTATTGTAATAAAAAAAATATACGTATCGATTTTCTCACGCAGTAACTGTATATAGACGTATATACTACATTACATGTATAATATATTATTATCGCATGGCTGTTATATATTATGCGCATACCTAGGTACATTGTTATGTAACGTAGGTCCAAATCACTGGTTATTATTCAGTTTCTCCTGTCACCGCATTTAATCAATTTCGTCCACCATCATATAATATTTATATCACACGCATATAAATATAAATATAGGTATGTAACAAACAATATACGAGTTTATATATATATTGTAGTATAATATAATACACAATATTTTGACATATTGTATTATGTGCACCTGCTAGGTCTAGCCTGACTAATAATATTATAACCTTTCCTTCGCTTTCGTTTTGAATGTTTTTATTTTGTGTGATAAAAATAATATAGTCACCGTTCGTCGCACTAAGGAAGAACTTGGTTAAGGTACTAAGGTATGTTGTATCTACAACCTATGTACATAAATTTATAATATAGGTACAATGGTATACATTATACATGAATATAACCCAATGTATGTATAGCATATAGTATCCCCACTACGATTCTAATGTCTTCTTGCACACAAATATATAATATAGTTATTAGTTAGCTAACTAAAAGAACATATTAAAAAGTTGTAAAATAAATTGTGATATCAAATAAACACAACAGTTAGGTATAAGTTATTATAATAGCTACAATATCGTTCATATATTTATAAAATTTTGAGAAAATGTAATATTTAGTATTTATTTTGTAGTTTAAAAATAAAAGAAAAAACCCGAGAATACAGTTATTTAGTACAGTCATGAGGTAAAATTCAGATTCATCAATTTTGATCAATTATCATACAAGATTATAGAAATAATTATAGAAATAATTTACCGATAATGGTGATAACAAGCAGCAGTAGCATGGTCATTTTAAAATTATTTCTCCACATCGTCTTGTAGTGACGTTACAACTAAAATCACATGTTTGTGTCGATCACACCGACAGCGACGTTTTATGCACGTATATTTGTAAACAGATTATACGTTAATCGTACAGCGCACTTGCACATACACACGCACTACTCGAACGCTGAATTTAAAAACAAAATTTTAGTATTAGAATTATTAATTTTTTGGTACACAAATGAGAAAAAACATCAACGAAAGAACCTTGCAAGTAAAAAGTAACTGGGTCGAACTTGTATTCTTTGTTGTTATTTTTATGAAAATAAAAATGTATAAACAATTAAAAATCACCGAGATGTTACTGAGCGGATAACGGAAACTTAAATGCAAACGCGGTATACCATCATAGAAAGACAGCCAGAAACTGAGCCGGGCGTTGAAGTCACTGACACTGTGTGCGCCGCGGTGATGTGAAACTCGAAACGGTTTTCCCCTCCGTTACCCAACTACACACCGACAGCAGTAGTCTATCCATAGACCGTCCGGCAGATGATGGTTATAGCAATATACTAACTGATAAATACGCCTCTCTCTCTCACACTCCTTCATAAAAAAAACGCACCGACATATTCATTTATATATTGTATACATGTATATGTGTGCGTCGTTGGTGTAAACGCAAGTATACCAAAAGCATGTATATATATAATGAGTAAGTAAAGTTATAGGTAGGTATACCTACACGTAAAATGACTCTATTAAATTCCTTGACGCATTTGTTATAATGTATGAAGGCAAATAATGAAAATATCTAGTTATAATATATATATATATATATATATATATATAATATAGTTGGTTATAGTTTAGTTGACTATAAAAACTGATCAAGACTGTCAACATGAAAACAATTTTAAAATATATAATAAATTAATGAATAGGAAGGAACCATTTAGATTCTTCTGAATATCAACACAATTATTGAGTTGTTAAATCGTCAGGCGCACTCAGACCTGACTATAAGACCTTATCAAGAAAAGATTTTTCGTGCAGATGTATCTTTTGACAGGTGCTAATCACAAGTTTATAAAGTTTACAACTTACAAGCTTATACAATGGAAAACTTGCTGTACACCTTACAATATAACAAAGTACCTACTTACTGCGTATTCTCTTTAAGTATTACAAAGTTACAAATTTACAATAGATTAATATATCATACATACAATTACAATATAATATTAGGTATATAATAAGGTTCATAATAAAACGGTTTAGAAATAACACCATGCAGATGTCAATCAACATATCATTTTACACCAACATAATTGAATATTTATATTTAAAAATTAGTTAAACATCTCAAGGTTACATTATATGTACCTATATAGTGTTAAAATTAGATTTAAGATCTGTACTAATAACTGAATTTCTTAAAAAATAGTTAAGTAACGATATTTTTTTTTTTTAGTTTTTCAATCCGGAGATTGGTTTTTAACAAAATGTTTTACAATAAATGACTTCTCCATATTTCTCTATCATTTGCTATATTCTTAAGTTCCTTGTAGGAAGTGACTCCTGCATCCTGCATTATTTGACTAATGTATCTCGTCCTAGGTCTTCCTCTTGATCTTGTACCCTCTATCATTCCTTCGATTATTATAGTAACGATATAACAAGTATTAAAGTTGAGATGCCGAGATACATCATTTTGTTAAAAATATCAAATCTGCTATCCGTCTGAATATAATATTTTTAGTTTAACATGGACTAACGCTCTTCTATGAAATAAATATATTTTTTATGTTATCTAAGCCACAAATGAATATATTTTTTTATTATTAAACTATTATCAGTTATTTACTCTATGATTAGACATTTTAATATTTATCGTGTTTATCAATACGACAATACTTATTCATATTACGTGTTCAATAAAGTTGTCATTTTCATACAAATTTGTTAAATTGTAATGAATTTTTAATTTGTAGGTCATGTTACCGGAAATAATGATTGTTAGTCACTGTCAAGAATGATTAGGAAGCAATGTTGTAATAAACGATATTATTATATTTAAGTCATTGGCTAACATAATACCTCAAAACTCATATTTTCAATCAAATGATAGGTACACCCAATAGGGATAACCATAATAATTAGTTTGTGTACCTAAAGGTTTTTATATTTTATATTAATTGAAATTACAAATATACTATTAACAAAACTACATCCTGTTTAAAAAGGAAACCAATCACTCAAAATTACATAATTAAGAAAGTATCAATATACTATTATTATAGTGAACTATGAGTCATCGTTCGATATTACGTGTGTGCAGTAAACAGGTCACGGTCGCAAGAAAATCAAGTAAGTAAATCAATAAAGTTTTAATTTTAATAATACTGAAATAAGGTCGTAATCCCATTTGTACTAGCAGCTAGTAACTAGCTACTTGCAATATCCATAACATTTCGGACAAGTAGGTAGTATACAAACTGTTTAATTTTATGATTAAAAAAAACTCGCCATTTTAAAAATAGATTCGACAATTATATAGGTATATCTGTTATTAAACACATGCGACACAATAGAATCTGATACATAGTATTTTGCAGCGTAAAAATCGAACAGAAATTGGATCGAATCCGGTTGCAAATCTAAGATATCTATCTACTATATAGGTGCTACAGCGATACAACCTGTACGATATGTAATAATAGTTGGACATGTCTTTAAACTCATCCAAATCAAATACCGTTAAGTATATATTTTATTCGCTTTGACGACACATATTTTGAAGATGTCATCGCCGGTTCGTATATTATACATATTTTTGTACCGTTTATGACGGGCCTGCTATTGTTGTTTTGGAAATAATTCATAGATAATAATACGATATAATAGTACACATTGTACAATACGGATGAAGCAAATGGTACACTATACAATCCCCATAGGTACTTCAGTGGACCGAAACATCTGTATAATAATTTAGTATTTTAATCGCAAATAATATACGTTCGATACGTCTCGATCGTAAATTTGGCTTTTAATATCATAAATAAATCCGTGTGACAAATCGGTAAATAGGTACAGTATACTATATAAGGTATGTATAGATCATGTTGTATACGACTGTGCATGATGAATCGGTGTGTTTACCGATATACATATCTATATATATATGTGTATCAGTTACCTATACGATGACTCTAAATAGCAAAATAACAACAATACGTACTCGTAACCGTCTTGCAATCTGCTTATAAAGTGAAAATGGTTTTATTCATAAATCATGACAAGACAACTATTTTTTTTTTATTTGGGTACGTATATGCAGCCTGATTCACAAAGCTTATAGGTAAGTTTACTAAAAGTTCACTCAGTTTATTTCACAACCAAAATTTGTTTTCACTTAATACTAAAGTAATTGATTTTTACGAATAAAACCAACATAATAAATTATGTAGAAGACCACAAGTTGTCCTTGAGCTAACTCTTTTGTTATTTTTTAATTCAATACTTACAGTACATAATTCAACAATATTACGCATATAACTATATAAGTCCATATTATATAATAATAATATAATATAATATGCTATAGTATTTATAGAAAACTAATTTATATAATTTCAAATTATGGATATTACAATCTAAATAAAGAGAAAAAAAGAAACATTTCAAATATATGAAATAGAATTTACATTTTACAAGATTTTATCGACTGTTGAAAATAAGTTTTTTCTACTAGTATATATTATATTAATTTAAATAATGCTTTTTGGTTTTTTTATTGACATATCTCAACTGCTATATTCATAAAACATCTAAGTCCAAAAGACTTTGGCATTGGTAAAGCGTGTAATCTACCGGGCATTTAAAGATTTTTTGTGTCTACAAAACAAATGATACAATTTGTATTAGTCAAAACACATAAATTATGTTCAAAATATGATAACTGTGACAATATTACATTTTATGAAGCATACAATTTTTTATACCTTCCGAAAAATGTATAAATAAAATAATGTATATTATTTCAATTTTTTATTCAAATTGTGTTTTTTTTTTTTAAACACATTCAATTAAATGGCGTGGTAATAGATTTTCATTAGTCCCATGCATTTTTCTTAATATTAAAATTTTAAATTTTAATATTGACCATAAACATTCTATTGTCTGCGTGTTAGTTTCTACATTAGAGTTTTCAGAATTAGGTAATAATTTTATGAAAATCCGATGCTAACATTTTTACAACACACTACCTATACGTACTTTCGCACACACGACTCGGTTAATGGTAAACACATAAATGTACAGACGATAGATGTATACATATGTATACATACCTGTAGGCTATGAAATAAGATATTATTATATTTATTTGATTATTTCTCTAATCGGTTTTTTCAATATTAACGTTATTGACGTTATCGAACATTATCACCTAGTATTTAGTCACAAAATCCATATTATAATCGTTAGGTACCTATTAATAGTTGATCATAGCGGACCCGGTAGATCACACGCTTTACCGATGCCAAGACTTTTAACAATTTGTTTTAATAATAATTATATTTAAATTAATGTTTTTTTTTATATCTAGTGTTTATATCTATATTCATGCTCACAAGTCCGAAGTTAATTTTTATTTTTGTATGCTATAGCCTAAAAGTAATAATTTTTTTTTAATAATAATTTTTTTTTGAATAAGTTAGAAATCAAAATATTTAATAGTTATAAAATAGTTTTGGTAATTTTACTTTTAGTATTGTATATGTTTGAAAAATAAAACTTAGAACTTATATTGTTTATAATATGGCAGGATCACTAACTGTAAATATTTTTTCATACTGTGTTGTCATGTCAGAGTACCTAAAACTTTTTTCAAAATTTGTCCTGTATTTTAGATTCTGAGCGGAGCGATGAATGTATTGGTTTTAACAATGATGTTTTTTTATATTTTTATATTTTTATTTATATTTTTATTTATATTTTTATTTATATTTTTATTTATATTTTTGTGTCTGTCATCACGTTT